AATTTTAAATTAATTATAATTAGTTTCTAATTAATTATAAATTCAACTTAATTGATTTCTAATTAATTTTCAATTAAATATAAGTATATATATATATATATAATGTAATTAATTATAATTAGTTTTTTTATTAATTATGATTAAATCTAATTGATTTATAACAAATCTTAAATTCAATTAGGTATAAATTAAACATAACTAATTGTAAATAATTTTTTAATTATAAATTAAATCCAATTAATTTTAAATCAAATATAATTAGTTATTGATTAAATATAACTAATTATAATTAATTATAAGTTAAATATGTACGTCTCTACCGTTGTGTACCTGACCTCAACGTCACTGACACCTTGCTGACTGCCAAGGTATAATCTCTTAAACTTGAAATTATATCCTCGATGTGCTTGACGCTTCGGTCAACCACCTAAACACGCTTTTATTAGCGTGGTAGAAGAAAACCAAGTGTGATACCTACGACAAGATAGGTAGGCATCTCTCAAACCCAAAATCTTATCCTCAGGGTGTTAACGTGCCGATCAACCACCTATATACATTTTTCTTAACGTTGTAAGGGAAAACCCAATGCGACACATACGACGAGACAGGTAGGCCTTGTACATGCTTTTCTTAGCATGGTGATGACAACTTTAAGTCCCCGTACAAGCCACAATGCCTGCAGGGAAATCATTGTGCATTTTAAAACAGGTATCTCTGGAGACCCATACATGATTTTCTTAGCGTAGTGCCAATGCGACACATACGACGAGACAGGTAGGCCTTGTACATGCTTTTCTTAGCATGGTGATGACAACTTTAAGTACCCGTACAAGCCACAATGCCTGCAGGGAAATCATTGTGCATTTTAAAACAGGTATCTCTGGAGACCCATACATGATTTTCTTAGCGTAGTGGGATTGCAAACCACGACCTCGGTGTCTACGGATACCTACCATACACGTTTTTCTTAGCGTGGTGGGAAGGCCCGGTTCTCTACATTTCACCCAAATGGGGGATATGCCAGGATGCTATCGAAATTCAGAGTTAAATGCATAGAGACTGAACAACAGAGAATTTGTATTAAACAGCAAAAAGCAAATACCTCTAGAGACTATCAAACACAATTTTCTTAGCATGGTGGGAAGGCCCAGTTCTCCACATTTCCCCTAAATGGAGGATATGCTGGGATGCTACCGAAATTCAGAGTTAAATGCACAGAGACTAAACAACAGAGAATTTGTATTGTATAGCAGAAAGCAGGTACCTCTAGAGACTCATACACATTTTTCTTAGTGTTGTGGGATTGAAGACTATAGCCGCGACGTCTACGGATACCTACCAGACATGCTTTCTTAGCGTAGTGGGAAGGCCCAGCTCTCAACATTTCCATTAAAAAGGGGATATATCGGGATGCTACCAAAATTCACACTGAAATGCACAAGACTTGAATTATTAGAAGACCTAACATGAGCAGAAACACAGAGGACCTATACTTAGCGTGGTGGGAAGGCCTAGTTCTCCACATTTCCTCTAAATGAGAGATATGTCGGGATAATACTGTAATTCATAGTTAAATGCACAGATACTGAACAGTAGAGAATTCGTATAAGACACCTATCATACATGCTCTTCTTAGCATGGTGGGAAAGTCCAGTTCTCCACATTTTCACAAAATGGGGGATATGCTGGGATGCTACTGAAATTCAGAGTTAAATGCACATATACTGAACAACAAAGAATTTGTATATTACTTGAATAGAAATGCAGATAACTTGAACCAACGACAAAGAACTGAATCTAAACTGAACAAACAAGGGACTTGAATTGAACACAGGTACTGAAATGCATAATAATAATCAAAATACAAATATCAAATGATAATTTTGATTACTTAAATAAATATTAATGAACACCAAATCAATAGCAGGGGACTCGTGACGAACAAGACCTTGGTGCATACAGACAATGAATGTTAATCAATTTGCAGCAATTACAAAACAAGTGTCAATCACCAATATCTGAAGGCACAATGAACAACAAAAGATGATGATGATTAGCAAATGATGTAAGTACAATGGCTTTCCTACAAGTACGTCCAGCAGATTATAGTGAACATTCCCTACAAGCAGTGATAGTTGATATACTACTTGTGAATAACAACAGTGGGTATACCATGAGTACAGCAAATCAACTGTGAACACAAGTACACATGACACCTACAAACAACTGCAGGAGATATGTGCCTGCAATCAACAACATGCAATAGTCGGTGCAACATGCAAGTGAATATACAAATCTACATTATAATCAGGCTGATAACTAATAACGAACACATACAATACCTACAACAACGATGATTGAGATGCTACGAGTACGTTGGGTATAAAGACAACTCAATGTACATAGGAGGTTCACTGATACATCGTCAAAGGAAAGATTTCAATGACAATACAAAGTCATGCAGTCGACAACAATAAGCTGATGAACAAGAGCGCTGATTCATTTACAAGCAATAACAATTGATATTATATTTGTCGATGACAACAATGGGTACAACACAAGTATAGTGAATCCCCTGTGGACACAAGTACATAGAACATCTACAGCAGCTATGATTGGGAAGCTGCAAGCATAATAGGCCCCATACAAGTGTAGAAGTACATACACTTTGCAAAACCTGCAAAATGCCATTTTAAACTTCACACGCTTTTCGATGCGTCGCGATGAGTTTTAAGTGAATTTTTCAAAGTCGTCAGAATTCGACGCAATAAATTTTATAAAATAGTACACAAAATTATGAGCGAATTGATATACATAACCCATATTAGATTTTAATTATTTTGGAAGTTAAAATTCATCGAAATCTAAATATAACGGTTTTGCCCTTAATGACTTTTGAGTATTATAGATGATTTTAAGTAAGGGCTTTTAGTACTTTCGGCATTTAATGAGAGGATCCCATTCTAAATAGGTGATCGAAATGTTTCGGTCCCCATTCTATTCTTGCGGCCTGAACCGAGCGGAGAAAGGGAGGAAGCCTCACGTAGAAGCGGCGACGAGAGAGCGTAGGGGCGATTTCCAGCGACGGTTTGCGAGGGAAAAATTGAATGAAACTTATAAGGAAGGTTAAGGTACGTTGTTTGTGTAAAACCCGAAAACGACGTTTGTATGTCGTCGTACGCTTTTCGATGTGTCGCGAAGAGACTTAAGTGAAATTTTTAAAGTTAATGAAATTTGATGGAAATAATTTTATAAAGTACTACGCAAAATTCTGATCGTTTTGATATATAGAACTTATATTGACCTCAAGATTTTTGGAGGCGAAATTTCTAAGATTTTATAGAATTTTGATTTTCTTTCGAAATCTCTTTATGAAACCTTTAAGGAATGATTAGAGGAACATTTTAACGGTAGAATCAAAGATTTTGGAGAAATTTTTGGAGGATGAAAAATTAGGGCTTTTTACTAAAACCCAATTTCTATAATGTACTTTTACAAAAGTTATTCCTAAGAGCATTAGGAATGTTTTTAAAAACATAAAAGTGAGTTTTTAATAAAAATATTATTTTTCATAATTTCTTAAATTAATTAATCCGAAAATAAATTAGATAATTATTAATTATTATTTAGGAATAATTATAAAATAAAGATTTGAGCAAAATTCATGATTTAGAATTTTCAAAATGAA